CCTTCCTGGACTGCGTGTGTGTGCAGGCGCGTCCGAAGGTCTCGATCGGGCATGCCATGGACGTGCTCGGCAGCTTGCTGCGGCAGCTGGTATGTGTGTATGTAGGGAGGTGAAGAGCAGCCAGGCTCGGACTGAACACGCGGTATGGGTGGACGCAAGACAGATGATGACGACACGCACGAGCGACACACAGACACAGACACACAAAGTAACTCTCACAAGACACTCAGCCAGCTGACACTGCCACACACCCTGAGTGGGCGTACACAAGCTGGTCGCGGCGACATCGAGCTCCAATCATACCCTACCAAACCCGGTACCCCAATCCAATGAACTGCAACAGGTCGCGTACGACGCCGCGTGCGATCTCGGCGATCTCGGCGACGAGCTCCGCCGAGATCGGCCGAGGCCAGCCGAGGGCGATGTCGGCACCGTCGGCGAGCATGGCGAGGCGGCGGGGAGGGAGGAGGCTGGTGAGGCGGCGGCAGCGGCAGAGGAGCCGGGAGGCAGAGCTGGCGACAGGCGGAGCCGGCCGCCGTTGCGGCGAGTGCAGCACGTGGTGACCCCCCCCCCCCCCCCCTCTCGTCCCCCCTCCTTACTTCTCCCCCCCCTGTATCCCCCCCCCTCCCTCCCCCCCTCCTCCCCCCCGACGCCTCCTCCCTCGCCTAGCACGTGCTGCCCCGCGACCGCAGGTGCTCGTTGCAGCGGGCACGCGTGCGGCGGAGACGCTGGAGCGGGGGGCGTATGATGCCTCCGCATCGAGCAGCGAACCAGCGTCTGTTCACAGCAGCGCCTGTGAATAGGAGCGGGCGGCCTGCTCGATCGCTTTCAAGAGCCATTTGGTGCTCTGCCGCCCGCTGGGTGGGGAAGAGTGAGCGTCGTTTGCTGAGCTGGTTGCATCGGCCCCCATTATTTTTCTCCACATACTTGTGCACTCAGTTTGCAAGTGGGAGACAGGATGCGGTCGAAAACGGTCAACTTTTGCGTTGGATGTAATCAACAGTTTGATTGGTAATATATACTTATGCTAATAGAGGGCCCTTACAAGCGCACAAGTCGTCGTGTTTAGCGCCGTCACCGTGTGCCTCTTGATCGCACATATCGCGGGACCCGATCGCCGACTCTCTCAACACACAACCCAACGTGACCACTGACTCTAATAAACGGTCATCGCATGAGCTCGACACAGACAATCCAATGCGAGCTGTCTCTAGTTCTAATAAACGGTCACAAGCTAGCGCTCATCATGCTCCCTGGGCGGGAGGAGCTCTGAGAGGCGGCAGCCTCTGAGGACTGCGCGCAACTGTCCCGCTCGCTGAGTGGCAGGGTGGGTCGGCCCGCGGACGCGTCCGTGACCCGCTGCACCCCGCCGACGCTCGTCCTAGCCTCCATCACGCCGTCGGGGCCGATGCGGCCGCTCACCGAGCCGACGGAGCCTCGGCTCTGCGCGTCCTTGGCGCCGGTGGTTGGGAGGCCGCCTTTGCGTGCAGAGTCGTCGGAGAGCTCGTCCTCGACGGAGGACTCCTTGCGGCGGCAGTAGCAGAACCACGCCGCCAGCGCGCCGACGCAGAGCACGAAGACGCCGCCCGTGACGAGGCAGACGATTAGGATCACGCTGCCCTGCCCGTTGACGGTGATGCCCTGGTGGCCTGGCCACGAGGGCGGCGTCGGAGGGGGCGAAGGAGGCGGCGGCGCGACGACCGCCACGGTGACGGTGGGCGGCGACTCAAAGGTGACCGCAGCGTCCAACTCGTCGGACATCGTGTCGAGGAAGACCGGCGCGAGCGCGGCCGACTTGATCAACTCCAGCCGACTGGCGAGGTCGAGTACACTCACCTAGCAAGAGGGCCGACCCGTGGGAATGGCAGAGGCGCCGGCGCGAGGCAAGAGCAGTGTCATGGGCAATGCGAGACACCCACCTCCACCTCTGACTGCAGCGAGGCTCCGTTTGCTGCCGTGAACTCGAGAAGCGGGAGCAGCTCGTCGCCGTCGTGGATCACCTGTGCGGGCAGACAAGTCCTTAGCAGGCCATCTCGGGTAATCACTAACCTCAGTTTGTTGTCGCACTGCTCGGGCGATCGGTCAAGCGCGGCTCCATTCCGATGTCAAGCTCGATGTTGAAGAGCTCAATCTCTATCCTCCGGCCGATGCGGGGATTTCCGCTGCGGGGATTTCCGCTGTGAGCCAGGAAAAAGAAATTTGAAGCGGGACGAATTTTCTCGCACACGCGCGATTCGCACAAAAACACAAGCCCGCACCTAGACTTTTTTCTTTCATTTAACGAAGCGTGTCAAAGTCGAACGGATTGTGCAAGACGCCCTGAGAGACCTTGTCCATCCCACATGCTGCCGTCGCTCCTGCTGCCGGCGCTTTTTGCGGTCGATGTGAACCTCGCAGGTCTCTTCATGCTCTCGTACGAACAGGTGACGACCGCCGACAGCTGCGCCGGCGTGGGCGACTGGGTCGACGGCACGTGTTGGGAGATCGAGCAGATGCAGGCGGTCGTCGCGAGCGCACTACTCGCAGTGTCGGACTTCAACGCGAGAAATGTGAGCGCGCTGCCAGCGCTTGGGACTGTGAGCGCCTGCGACAAGCAGCTGCGGCTGCGGCTCCTCGACAGCGGCGGCACTGTTCCCAAATCGGTGCAGGCGCTTGGAGATCTCTCGTCTGGCACCGATGTGGTCATCAGGCCCGGCCGCAGCTCTGTCTCCTTCCACACGGCTGCCATCACCGGTGCTTATGAGTTGCCCCAGATCTCTTACTGGTCGACCTCGACCGACTTGTCAAACACCGAGAAGTATCCTCGCTTCATGAGGACAATCCCATCGGACCATGCGCCAGCGTCAGACATCTGCTCCTTCTGGAAGCATGAGCTCGGGCTCTCGACCGTGGCCGTGATTTACCAGCAGGACCCGTACGGCCGCGCTTACGAGAATGTGGTAAAAACGGAATGCCAGAGCCTGGGGTTGGAAATCGTCAGCAGCGGGTTCTCCGATGATGATTCGATCCGCGAAGCCTCGATACGGTCTGCTGTCAGGAGTCTGAGCAATAGCAGCGCCAAAGCGGTGCTGGCCGTCACTTTCCCGCCGAGCCTTGATCTGATAGTAAACGCTGCGCTGCAAACCGGCCTGCTCAGTGCTGGCACGTCCTGGGTGTTTCCAGATAGTGTCACCGCAGCGGAGCTAGACATGGTTGTCAGCGATGAGGGACGGGCCGCACTGAACGGCAGCTTTATCATCAAGGCGGTCGGTGCGACCGACAATAATCCGCAGTGGACGAGATTTTCCAACGAGCGCTGGGCGGAGCTTCAGCCCGCGCAGTTCAATCCGCACCTGCCTGCCGACTGGCAGATCCGCGACGACTTCTTTCGAGACCCACACGTAAGCAGCTGGGTCCCGTCCGGCGGCACCTTTGCTTACGATGCCATCATGGCGGCGGGGCTGCTGTCGTGCCAGGTGGCCCCGACGGGCGCATTGCCGGTAAAGTTCGGCGCGCAGTTCTGGGAGTCCAAGCACACCTTGTCGTTCGAAGGCCTTTCCGGGCGCGTCGAGTTCGACGAGAAGGGCGACAGGAGCAGCGCGAATGTGCATCTTTTCAACTTGCTCGATCAACATGGGTACTCGGAGAAGGACATAGCTCGATTCAGCAACGGCACGTGGATCTGGCAAGGAGGGTCGCGCGAGGGCAGCGGCGTGGTCTACAACTTCGGGAAGGACGAACCGCCGTTTGAACCGATGCCCCCGCCCCCGCCGCTTAGTGATAAGTTTAGTGATGACGGGGACGACGATCTCATCCAGGGGATCGTCGTCGGGGCGAGCGTCTTCGGGGCGTGTTTCGTTCTGATCCTGCTGTGCTTCGGAGTAATGCGATTGCGTCGCAAACGGCCAGCCGACGTGGTGCCCAAGGATGAAATCCACCGCATGCAATCCGAGATAACCGAGGTGTTCCGGTGCATGAGCGGGAACTTCAACGCCGAGGAGGTGACGTTGACGAACATTCTCGACTCCTATGATCGCTTCGCCTCGGCGCCGCGCGAGCTCGTGTTTGGCCGGCCAGCGCAAGCGGCACTAGGCGTTGAAAATTTCATGCGCGTGCCAGACAACATCGTGCATCAGGGCCGGATCGACGGGACGGCTGCCCTCGTGAGCGAGGCGCGAGCTGACTGTGGCTCCCACCCACCGCCGTACTCTCTCACCCTGGCCGCCTCTTATGCAGGTAAGCCTTGCCGGGACGGACGTCGACAAGGAGTGCCTCGCCTACGTCCTCTACGCCGAGGCGGGCTCGAGCGACCTCACCTTTCAAGGCGGCCTCAAGCGAGACTGTGACGAGAACGGCAAGGTGCTGGAGTCGCGCACTGTCTGTGACGGTGCGGCGAGACGCGGCATGCTCCTTCGCGACTTTGTGGCACACAAGCACTCGCGGCTCGCCAACCTCGAGCAGGCGCACGTCGTCGCCCTCCGGCTGTACACCACCGCCGCCTTCGAGTCGATCAACAACCCCCTCCGAGACTGGGCGCGGTACGAGCGGGGGGAGCCGCACCCCCTGCCCGCGACGGTTGCGCTGCTCCGCGATGCCCTGACGAAGCTCCGCTCGGTGGAGGCTGAGATCGACCGCAATAGTGCCAGCTCACAGCTGTTACTCTACCGCGGGATGAAGGACGTGGCGGCGCCCGACAGCTTCATGGCGGACGGGGGCACGGAGCTCGCCCCCATGTCGACGACGTCTGACCTGAGTGTCGCGCTGCGCTACTCGGCGAGCCGCACGATCACCTCCGACCACGTGCTGCTGCGGCTGATCACCGACTCCTTTTACGACCGCGGTCCGAACGTGTCCTTCTTGTCCGCGTTTCCAAACGAGGCGGAGTATCTGTTCCCACCGCTGACCTATCTGCAGCCGACTGGCCGCACCGAGACGGTCGTCGCGTGTGGTATGTCCTATCAGGTAGTGGACGTGAAGCCTCGTATTTAGTGTCTGGCCTCTCAGGTAGAGTATCTTGGCGCAAATAATTTCTTTTTTATGTAATTCTTTTTTATTCGGTGTGCCGATTCCTACTTTGCGCCAGTCCACGCCCTTGTCGTGCCAGTGTGCTGTGGGACTTGCTTGATTTTAAAATTCTTTTTCCAGGGTACCGTTACCGCAAGGAAATTCTTTTTCTCGGCTCGCGAAAATCGGCGACAACGCGGCCGAGCGTCTATGAGAAGTTCAACGTGCATATGTGGCCATTTCGCTCGCCTCGCTCGTCGCCTTCGCCGCCACCAGCGCATCCCTCGGGCACGCTCCACCTCCACTTTGTCTCGACAGACCGCGCCGTCATCCTCGGGAGCCTCGCGCTGCTCGTCGGCTCCCTAGCTCAACCGACGACCCTTCGCGGGATCGACGGCCGATCGTCATGGGCGCGCTTCTCTCCACACCACATGCTAGGGGGGGGGTCCCGCCCCCCCCAGCACCTTCACCACATGCTAGGGGGGGGGTCGTGGCCGAGGACCCCCCAGAGACTCGTGGTCAGGCCCTCCGGGCCCTTGATTTTACACCTCATTTCGCAGCATTTTCGAGGGGAAAATCATCCTTTGGAGCTATATGAGCCTTGAGACTGGTCAGATTCTCCAAGATATTGGACTTTCAGCCACGATTTCACAACTTTGGGGGCAAAATCGGCTCTCTGGCGGCTATTCCGAGCCCACGAACTGCTGGGGGGTGCCCACCACATGCTAGGGGGGGGGGGGGGCCGACCCCCCCCACTGGGATCACCACAGGGGGGGGGGGGGGGTCGTGCCCTCCAAAAAAGATTTCCCCCTTCTCCCCCAAGGATACCCCCCAAAATGGCCCCTTTTTAAAATCCCCCTCCCCCCAGGAACCAAACTTTGGACCTAAGGCCCGGGGCATTTCCCAAAAAAAAAAGGGAGGGATGAGGGGGGGATAAGGGAGCACCACACCGAGGGAGTACCCTGGGAGTGAGACTGAGAGAGATCAGGGGAAGCCCCACCATGGGGGACGGAGACACCAGGCACTAACTTC